ATTTTAATTATTTTAACATCGCTCACGAGCTTTATCACTCTTTATTAGTTGTGGAAGAAGATAATCTTTTCTTTATGTCTTTGTTCTTGTTCTTTGGTGGCATAACGAAATGTCGGCCATATCCTTAAAAGAGCCAAGTTGGCGCAACCAAGGCTGTTCTCCGAATAATATCCGTTCATTATGTAATTTCTTTAAATGTGATACAGGGGTCGGGTTTTCATCCGCAGAGAATCCGTTGGTGCTTCGGGAAAGAACCCTTTGGCACTAAGGCTCCTATAAACCAGGCTGAATCATCAGGCATTCGCGCTCCCAAGTGGGAGATTTAATGGCGGCTGAGTGGTTAAGGTGCAACAATTTTTTGTGTAAAATGGGCGGATGTACAGCTATTAATTGTTCAGATCATTCACGGAAAGGTCATACATTGGTAAAATTTCCTAAAAATGAAGAAAGAAGAAAAATATGGGTAAATAATTGCCGAAGAGACAATTGGAAACCTGGTCCAGGCGCTGAACTTTGCTTAGTAAGTATAATGTTAATTACGCCTTTATTTAGAGTTTATATCTTCTCTGATGTTTATAATGTGCAAGTAAAGTGAAATTCTTGTGTACAATAACCTGAGTATCTGCTAATTTCTGTAATAATAGCTATAATTAAATTAGTCTAGGGTTAATGTACCCATCGCCAATGTAGATGTTTTGAATATGGAAAAGAAATTTCTCTTCTAATATAAAGCGCGGATTTTGTTTTCCTGTGCTAATTGTGGAATTATACTAATGTAACATTATACTATAGTTGCAATATCGTTGGAATGATATATAATTTTTTTCTTTATTTTATAATCACTATTGTTAAAAAGTTAGATGAGTTGTTTATGCACGGTGCCCACTACTGTTTCTTGGTTAAAATAACTTCCAGAATTTTGACATTGACATTGAAACAATAGAATAAATTGAATAGACTGAAGTCAATAGAATAAATTGAATAGTGTGAGACAAAATATATATAATCTGACTTCAATAATTGCAAGGATTGTGCAAGTTTATTTATAATCACAGTATTATACAATTTGGCAATGGAGTAAAGATTTAGAAATGAATGCAGAACATTCAAATTAGTATTTTTCTTGTTTCTAATTATAGAAATATAGTCTATTTTCCAGTATAAAAATAAGTTAAGTTTTACTTAAAAGTATGGGAAAGCAGATTTGTTTCATGCATGATCTTTATAATACTGGTATGAAATGAATGAATTTTAATCTGTAAACAATTTTTTTGTTAATATTGAAATGTGTTTCTTTGGGTACATTTTTAGGCACTTGTGGATCATGTCAGACAATAGAAAAAAACATGCAATATTTTGTTATAAAAAATTGTGCTGTTTCATGTCCGAATATGTGCATATCCTGTAATTATTTTCTGTTTTTGAAGAATAATCGTTTTATTCATAATGCATGAATAAAAGTTATGTGTTTCTTCATTTTATCTAAATTTCAAGGATAATTCTTTTCATTTTTATATGGCATGTTATCAGTATAAAGGCTAGTGAAAATAAATTGGTATGTGTATCTGTTTTTGAAGTGTAATGCTTAAATAAAAAGATGGTGTGTGTTTCTTCATTTAAACAAAATTTTCAAGGATAGTATTTTTCAGTGTTGTACAGTTTGTTATTTCTCAATGTAAAGTGTAACAAGGGGAAAAAAAACTGGTATGGTATATCTGTTTTTTAAGCATGATAATTTTATTTATTTCTTTAGTGATGCATATATATAGAGAGAAGGTGTTTGGTCCAACTGAAGTTATAATAAATCTAATTTTACTAGATCTCTCCCTCCCCTCAGGTGTAGAAAATTTTCAAGTGCAGAAAGTTTATTTGCAGAATTAATTCATTTCTGATAAACTTATTATCATTAATTTTTTATATAACATGTTATTAAGTTACACATTTGACTACTGTGTAATAAAATTGTATTTAGGGAGGGCAAAAAATTAACTATAATTTTGCATCTGGTGACTAATATCATATGCTTCTAAGAATATTACTTTAACTTTTTCCATAATTTTTGTATTTCAGGAACATGAAACTGTTATTTTGATATACTTAAATAATAAAAGTGTGTATCTGAATCAATTAATGGATACAAATATTTTACAGTTATTTTTAGAAGATATTTGCCATATCGTTTCTAATAATTCATAAAGTATGTTAAAATATAGGTAAATAATTTGGTGCAGAATTCAAATTTAGTTGGTTTAAAATATAGTAGAAAATATAGTGCATCATAAGACTAAATGATTTTTATTGTCATGATTTGCCTGGGCTTAAAGAATGTACTTTTCGCCCGGTGGAAATTGTCATCAAACTGTCCTGAACAGGCTTTTTGTTGATAATAACTTCCAGGCTTATCAGTACCCTCCTTTTGAGTGGAGGGTATGCAATATAGTACCCAATTTAAATTACATTGTGATTGTAATAATATTGTGGTATTAAATAAGTGATTATAATTACAATTTAGGTAATTGCATTGTAATTATATTACATTGTATCTGTGAACTCTTAATTTCATTACTTTATGCAATTATGTTGTAAGTGCATAATCTAATTGCAATAATATAATCTATTCGCAATTACAAAATAATTATAAATGCAGTTACATCTTAAATAGAGGCCATTTTAATACTTTTAAATTTTTCGCAAGATAACTTCCCATTAAGGTTCATTTGGAGGAAACTATGCAAATATTAAAAAAGAAGTTTATGCTAAATTTACATATTTTGTACAGTACTTTCTTGTTATAATGCTGTTCAATATATCTTCAATACTTTTGTAAATTTAACGACATTCTTTGCAATCACTGTGGTGCTTTAAAAAGAAGTTTCTTAGTTATGCTTTCTAATAAGAATGGGTTTAAAATTAAGTATTATGTATAATAACTAGCAGTTAAAAAAACTTGACTGCATGAAAATGCTGTTGCTGTGTAAAATAAAAAATAAGCTTTCTTTTATGCTTTGAAATGAATTACATGTGGTTAAGTCGTCCTTTTACAATTTAAGAATGTGGTTAACACACATTCTTAAATTGGACAGGTTTTATCTAAATTATTAGTATAAAATATATAAACTATGAATTATTTTGTAACATAACTCAAATTACAAAATTCATTCTATATACGTTCAAAGTTATTATCTTTTATGGAATAACTGTTTTTTTAATTTAGGTAAAAACTGGATTTTTAGAAGTATTACAAATACAATGCAACACAAAGGTGATCTGATTGAAGAGGAAGGACTTTTTATTACGGTTTCTAGTTCGTATTTATATTACATTTGATGAAAAGCATCCAAAACACAGAATGCTGTACTTTCTTCTTCCATATTATGTTATGAAATATTTCACACATTTAAAAGAAAGTGTTTCTTCAGAATCTTGCACAATTATTTCCATGTACCTCAGACTTAAATGACAACATATTCTTAAGTTATTTTTTTAGTATGAATTTACAGTGTTTTTATGGAAATTTTTGTTAAAATGTCATTAAGATAAATTTATTTGCACACACTCTACGCACACTTTAACTATTTCCCCATTTGACACTATTGAAAGTTTTTATTCATATCTTATTTATTATAGTCTGCTAACGAAACTGAAACATCTAAAGAATAAGTTATTTTGAATATGTTTACAAAATATACGCGAAATTTTTATTTAAGTGAAAACGTCTATATACTATTCGAGAATTAATAAATTATCCGAAAAGTTTATATGCGCTGAATACCGCGCGTCTATAAAATAAATCTTTAAAAAAACAGCAGACATTCAGCCAGCGTGTGCGATAAACGCGCCAAAATTGGCAGCGCGTTCACTCCCTCGCCAAGAGAGAAACGTTGGTGAGTCAGCCTGGTTTAGAGGAGCCTTAGTTGGCACCGTTGCATTTTTACTCGCCTAGCTCGCGGTTCGTCGACAATGAGCCGTAAACGTGATTTTTAGTGCATGTAAATTCAAGTTAGCAGACAAAACAATATATTAAGCATATGGTAGTAAAAATTCACAGATAATAAGCATGCAGATGTAAAACTAACCGGTTAAACGTGATATACGAAAATAAACCTGTCTTTTTTATAATATATTTCACAATACAAATAACCTTCAACAGTAATCAAATTTTCTTCAGTAGCATTGTTAATAAAACTAGAACTTTATACATTTTATTATTTTTCAAGAGTTATTTGAACTGTATTCCTTACATCAGCAGTGGTTTTCTAATTTTGATGACCATGGGAATGCATCAAATTACTCTGTCGTCTTTGATAATCAATAATATTTTTTATTTCAATTTAATCAGTTATTTATGCCACACCTGCTATTCTCGGAAAGGTTATTGTTAGAAAAGCATTAACAATATAGTATCTTGTTAAAATTTTATGCCATAAAAATTGGATCCGAGAACCGGCATCTATCGACGAAAACTTCTTTAATTATACGAAAATATTTCTATCTATTCGTTGTTAAAAAATTCAGAAAAAATAACGTGGAAAATCAAAAAAAATAATAACAAATAAGAGAAGAAGAATATAAATCTCCAAATGCGAACAACAACAGTGATAATTCAGCAAAATGAACTCAAGAGGAATGGTTGCAACCTTCAAACAAGCGAAAAGGATGAATCCGATAGGTTACCAGGTTCGAACTATTATCGCCAAAGTTGGCGATGTTTACATTTACCGGGTTCTCTGCGAAGTGCTTCCCAGGGCTCTAATATTTGATGGCAACAATTTAAAAAGTGATTCGCCATTTATAGTGAATCCAAGCAAAATGTCAGAACGAAATTAATAGCCCTTCTGTGCTAATAATAATAATGGTAAGCTAATGGTAGTAATAATGGTAGATGAAAGAGAAGCGTGAAGATATCAAACCATGAATTCATGAACCAAACGATGGCCTCTTTCTATTTGCCTTTTCTTCCCTGATTTTTCGTTCTGCGAGCAGAAAGATTTAGCGGATGCAAAACATGACATGTCTACTTTTGTTTGTGTTTGTATAGATTGTAATTTACATAAAGCGTTCTGTCTTTTTTGAATATTCGCTTTAAATTCTAATGCTGAATTTGAGTCAAAGAAATCAATATATTGTATCGAATTTAAATCATGCCACTGCATGGAAATCGCTCATAACTTAATAACCAGTCAAATCTTACACTTCGAACAATACATGTATCGGTTTAATATAGCAATGATTTTACTTGAGAATTAAATATTAAAAGTAGAGCAGTGAATTGAAAATTTTGTTTGAACCAAATATTATTAGACGGAATAAAGCTATTTCTAATAAATGAAGCGCTGCAGAATTTAAATTTTGAATGTATGCAGTGTTTATTGTTCGTGTTTTGTTTTAAAGTCTGTTTCATCATAAGTATATGTTTTCTTTTACATGCATTTAAAATTAAAATTCTGAATGTAAATAGTATGTGTCTGGGAAAAAAGTAATTTTACGTTTGAGATATTTATATTATTGTATAATTTCATGTGAATAAAAATGTAGGTAATTTAAATTTATGGCATGATACAAAAATTCTGTTTAAAAGTGAGATTTTTTTTAATGAAAATTAATTAATTCATAGAATTCAGAATCTCATGTAAATTTTACATATTTGCTTTCGAGGTTTAGATGATGAGTATCTTACTTTCATACAACGTAAAATATATCCATACATGTCGATTTCATCATTTACTGACTTTCTCAGCATGTAATGCTTCAATATACAGCAATGTAAAGGTAAAATTCCCTGCCAACAAGCAATATTTGAAACATAAAATCCAAAAGCGTAAATTTTCATGGACTGGATTTTATGTGGCTATTTCAGAATCAGCTCCAGTGATATCACTGCAGAATGCTTTAATTGACCTCCATAATTTCTTTGCTGTTCCATGGTGGATGGTTATAATGCTGACTACATTAACAATAAGATCTGTTTTTATATTTCCTTTGGCTGTACATCAGAACCAAGTCATAGCAAGACTTGCTAATTTAAATATAGAATTAGGAAAACTTGCTCCTGAATTAAATAAAGAAGTTAATATAGCTAAAAAGTTATATAATTGGGATGAAGTTACAGCCAGAAAAGTTTTCAAGAGAAATGTAAGTTTGTAATAAATTTCTTAGTAAGTAAATATTTGATTCAGATGTTAATTAATTTTGATCTATGTATGCAGTAAGTTATTTGTCTTAATATTCTTTAATGAGTCATAAAATTTTTTGAGTAATTTTTTTTGTTCTGACCTGCAAAAATTTAGCAAAGTAAATTGTATTATATTGACTCATATTATTATCCCATTATTATTTGAATTCCTTATTGTATTTGTGAAATCTGGATTGATTTACTATATTTTCTTCATTGATATCATTAGGTTAAGTCTTCCATGCAATATAGTGCACAGAAAATGTTATATATGTAGTAAAAGGTTATGTTTCTGCTTGGAAATAACATTTTAAACTGTAAAAAGTATACCAGTTTTCATAAATATTTAAGTAGCATTTTATAGCATCATTAGCAAACAATGCTTTTATGTACATAAAAATTTTTCTCCTCTATAATCAGGTAGAGCTGATGTTAGATTTTCTGTTTCTGCAACTTGGGACCGGTTACACTGGCTGTGGTGCTGGGTCTGAATGGTAATTCTAAATATTAGCAAAATGCTGGAAAGAATCATTTTTACATTTATATATTCAAATGTAAAACTGATTCAAGAGTATCATTTATTATAGCTGACCAATTTAAAAAAATAAGGAAAAAAATACTGCAAATAATTTGAAGCCAATATTTGCAATAAATATGCACAATTTGAACTTTGTATTACAAACTCTTGTTTGGATGTGCATTGTATACATTTATCCTCTCTTATGTATTTGGTAAATGTGAATCACCAACGGGAAAAAGCATACATGAGTTAATACGTCAGTTTAATCACAGGCAGGTAATTTAGGCCCAGAGGGAAGATGCTAGTCAGAATCAGCCATTCTTATTAGCTGCAGCATTACTGTGTTGCCTAAATTGTTTTGGGACTATATAAAATTTGAGCATCTAATAGATCTGATATTGAATAACTACTTATGATTGATATTAGATATTAACATGCAATAGCATGACAAATATACGTGTAGGACATGAATAAAGGTTTTTCTAAAACAATGGAATCATAAGTGAACTGGGTAGAACTGGAATTTTAAAACTATGAAATTAAAAAATACTAAATATGGAACCTATTCTTAGATATCTGAGAGCTTGTTCTTTGCATTGCATAGAGAAGTGGATCTGTGCATGATTGGCTCATTATTTGTATAGTAAAGGTAATACAGTCAAAGTCGTTAATCCGGATTCGTCACGACTTAGGCGATTCCGGATTATCGATTTTTCCGGATGATGATCATCAGTTTAAATCTGGTAAGATGGCATGCAGAAATTCTAAAATTAAAAATATGAAACCGTAATTTATGAAATAAAGAACAATTATGATCTAAAGGATATCAAAATTTACAAAAAGAAAAAGCTTAATATATATTTGTTTACTTTATTAAACATTTCTTTCAATGTAAGTTGTTTAAGTTGCTTCGTTTCATGTGATAATACTTTCTCTTTAATTCTATTAAACAGACATAATTTCTTGTTTAGTTACAAAGTTCCGCTCTTCAAGTCCTATAATTGCTATGTCGAGAATACCGACTAATTTGTCAATCGAAATTTTTTCGTTTTCAATAACCTCTGTGTCACTTTCTTCACTATCAGAAGCGAATTATGATGAGGAACTTGATTTAAATCATATCAAAGACGGAGTACATCGAGATGAAATACTACATATTATAAGCCAAATAAAATAAAAACATCTGCCCTGAAGATAAGGATAGTGCTGACAGATCAACTTCCAATTCATTGCGTGCCATGGCGTCCCCCCGCCACAGAGCAGCGTGAAATTGATAAACAGATTTTGGAATGATTAGATAATCAAAGGATATGCCTTTATCCATCTTTTGCAGCAATTCCACTTTCTGTTTAATGGACTTCGAAACATACTTTCGATTTGTAGATCCTTTACATATTAGTAAATATATATCGGAAATTCTATTTGACATAATCGAAAGTTCAAGCTTACTTTTATAAAATTGCTCTAACAGTCTGCAAAAAATAATAAGCCGGATCCAAATCGAAGATTAAGGAACAACGCAATCTGCAACATTAACTGAATTAGATAATTTTAGCTTAGCTTATACCGTCCGTTATACATTAAACGCGCATGCGTAAACGTATTCTGCGCATGCGCACATGCATATTCGCAGCCGTAGAGGTCTTACGTACACGCGTAAACGCCTATGCGCATGCATCAATGCGACGCATTCGCAGAAAGTTTGTAGCTTTGAGGTCCGGATTATAGATCATTCCGGATTATGGATATCCGAATTAACGACTTTTGACTGTACAAAATATATGGCAAAAAAAATTGATTTGCATAAGTGTAGTATATAAATACAAAGAATAAATGGTTAATCTTTGGATTATGGTAATTTGGCGATTTTTTGGCGAAAATTTGGTGACTAATTCTGCTACAGCAACCTGCTAGTTTTTTTTTTTTTTTGGACGCCATTTTGTTTTTACGAAGTAAAGGCATTTTTTTTTTACTCAACATTTTTTCCAACAATCTGCTAGCCGAATTACACTTATGCTAGAACTTTTATGGAACAAAAGTGCTTAATTATGACGAAGATAGGTGCGAAATGGGGAGAAAGTGCAGAATCGCCCACTGCTTGCCGCGTTTTTAAGAATTGCACATACACAATATCCATGTACACGTGAACCTATTTTCACTTAAAAAACATCCCAGAATCGCACAAAAATGGCATTGCGCACACTCTTAACTTTATCCATGTACACTGCTAAAGTCCTAGCTAGTAATCTTTATCGCCTTTCCAAAATGTCGCCAAACTACCTGTTACCATATTCCAAAGATTAGCCGAATAAATACATAAAAAAAAAAAAATTCAAAACCTAGTTCAATTATGTGTTTATAGTTGCAAGAACTGGTGGTAATATTGTAAAAATAAAAATAAAAGATTTAAACCCATTCCATATTCAGTAGGGAACAAACCATTAGAAATAGAAATAAGAAACGGTGAATAATTGTATATAATGCTTCAAAAACAGGGTTTAAAAAAAATGAAAATGAGATATTGACCTCTGATGGCTGAAAAGGACCCTGATGACTATCTTCTGAAGGATGTAAATACCTTTTTCCGTAACAACAAAATTAGGCAAATGAAAATCTTGTGTTTGGTATAGATTTTAGTCAAGACGATTTCGAAGGCAAATAGGTACAGGTGCCATTTTATCAAGAGCAAATAAATCTGCACTGATGGAAAAGCAATGCTTGTATTTATACCCAAAAGAAGTAAAGTCAACAAGAAAGTAGCATTGTGTGTTGGAAGAAACAGTAAAGAAAATTGAAAAACTAAATAGAATTCTATAAAAGCATTAGGAAGGACTAGATTGGAAATAATATCATTAACTAAATGAAATAAATCTTTGTAAATGTGAAAAGCTTCATGAAAATTCAATTCATCAACAGAAGAAGCTTTTTGGGGCAATTTTTGTAGATCCAAAGTAAAAAAAAAAAAAAAAAAAATTGTGATTAAATTTCCAACTATGATTAGCTGTTGAAGACTAGTTAATTCTGCTTTTTCAGCCATTAGATTCGTGTTCCTTGACCTGGAACTTCTTTTGGTTTGGCCAATATGTATTAAACCACATTGACAAAATATGCTGTAAATTCTCCAAGAATTAAATTCAGAAATGGAATCTGTAAGAATCAAACCATGGATTTTATTGATAGGCAAGAAAATGACTTGAAAATTGAACATTTGGAGAATCAGTACAATTTTGTAACTGATTGAAGGATGAAATGGAAGCACAACAAAGTTGTTAATGCTATTTCTAACGAGAGTATCCTTCTTACTGGCAAGATGAAAATTTTTTTAATTTTCTAATTTTTTAAAAATATTAATGACCATAGGCGAAAATCCTTGTCAGTGGCAACTGATCTTAAATACACTCATGTCCATAAATTAAGGATAATTCGGAGTCACGCGGAAATCAAACTCTAAAATAAATATATCACCTGTAAAATCACTACAAACATCTTCAAGAATCATATGCAAATTTCAGGAAGTAACCAGATGACACCGATGGTACGTCACAATGACGAGAGTGTAAGAGAGTGATATATAAGGAATACAGGCAAAGAAGTAAAATTGTTCGCAGGCACTTTATAAGCATTTCAGTGCAATAACTGAATAGTTATGACACAAAGAACACATTTGGATGATTTTTTACGTGGTAGAATTATCGGCCGTCTGGAATGTGGGCGCATCCAACTGGAAGTATCAGACGAACTTGGAATTGCCCAGAGTGTCATCTCCAAGATGATGGTAATGTGAGTAGACGTTACAGCACAAGTCGCCCCAGAGTTACAACGCCGAATGAGGACTGGTATTTGGCAGTTACTGTCAAAAGAGACAGGCAGAGCACAGCCTCAGACCTGTCTCGTCAGCTCTCTTCAGCCACTGGTACGACAGTTTCATGGCAGACGGTATACAGATGCTTAGGGCAGATTCGTCTATATGCTCATAGACCTGTCAGATGCATTCCACTTACTGCAACTCACTGTCACCTGCGGTTAGCCTGGAGTAGAGAGCATGCATTGTGGACACCGCAACAGTGGGCGTGTGTGATGTTTTCCGACGAGTCCAGGTTTAGCTTGCAGTCTGATTCTCGACAGACTTTTATCTGGAGAGCTCCAGGTACCCGTTACCACCAAGAAAACATCATTGAACGACACCGTTACGGTGGTGCAGGAGTGCTCATTTCCAGTAGAGCTCATTGAATCCAGTATAGCACGTGTGGGACATGCTTGGCCGACGAGTTGCAGCCCGTCAACCTCCTCCTACATGTCTACCGGAACTTCGGAGAGCATTGCTTTTTGACTGGTGTAATATCCCCCAAGATCAGATCGATAATTTGATACTCGGCATACCTAGGCGTTATGGACTATATTGCATCGTCTGGGAGACAAACAATGTGTTAACAATCATAC